GTATAGAGGTGATAGCTCAGTAAGTTGGGCTACGTGTCCAGTGCACTCGAAGCGAAAAGTTTTTGGTTCGAGCCTGGAATGGGGCGTTAATTTTTTTTTCATGCGAACAACCATTTATTTTGTCAGTTTCGTTTTATGTACTGATGTATTAAAGCTTTGAATTAGATAAATTTTGGTTCAGTTTGGTTCTCGAGCGAAATCAATTCTAATGTTCTATTCTATAATGTACATGTACACGTATCATACATCTATGCATTAAATATTTTAGGTGTTTATTTTTTGCGTAACTTTACTATGTTATAGTACCCCCTAGGAAAAACGGACATAAATGTTACAATTTCACAAGGTCTTTCAAACTGAATGAAAAAAAATCTATGTACGTGTTTGTAAAATCTGACCAGCTATGTTCAGCCAACCAAATCATGGACATTTAAACCATAAATGTTTCGTACAAATGATTCCTGCAGATCACTCGCCAAATGCGCCCATCTTCTTTTAAGTCCTTATATTAAAGATACAATAAATATGCATAATTGAATGCATGTTGTGCATATATAATCTATACTTTTGCAGAAAAATGCTTTAGATTGCTCCTTAGAACTGCGCAGATACAAAATTCAGCAGAGCCTTAAAAAATCCAAAAAAATATGCGAACTGTGCATTAATGTTCACTCTACAACCATTTGTTGAGAAAATGTCTAAATTTTGCACTTTTAACTGGTAATTTCATATTTGAAACAAAGCACTGTTTTCTTCAAAATGAGTGTCAAAACCATGAAAGTATAGTTCATGGATAGCAGCACGTGGTCTATTTTTAGCACAGCATTCTTTTTCCAGACCTCTTCTTTATATGGAAGTAGATACATGTAACAATCTTAAAAAGTAGAAAAGAATTATAATTGCAAAATGTTTCAAATAATATGAACACTTTTTAAAAGAGGAATTGTGTTATAGTGTGGCTTAAAGTAATTAGTTCATGTACACATGTATTATTATCGAACTGTTGTTAAATGGTGTACGTGTTGATATAAAAAAAATCTTAAAGCCGCTTGGTCCGATTCTTTTCGCTAAAAATTATATTCGTTTTTCTTCTTGAAAAATAATTGTCCATAAATTGTTTCAACTTTTGTCAAATTATATCCTCAAAGTCCTTTTGTTTTAAAAGATATCAAAATTCAAAAGTTAAAAATATAATTTTTGTTTGGACACTCAAAAAATAAACCTATGTTGATATCGGGTGAAATCATCTTCGAAAAATTAAATTTATCGCTTACATGTATATCTCATGAAGAACAAACCCGAGCATTTTTTTCACAATAAAGAACTTGTAGGCCTACCTGTACATGGACAATATTTTTTTCATTTTCATTGCAGGTCACCTTCATTCGCTTGTTCGTGTATACTTCATTTATTTTCATCGTTCCTGCAAATTGTCATCCAATAAATATATGAACCTCCATTTAGGAATATTGTGTTGACTGAATTATTTCCTGAGATAGGAGACCCGTGACATAACCGATAAATTTATTTTTTTCAAAAATGACTTCACAACAGATCTTAACTTCCCGTCAGGAACTTCTGTTTGTCAATAAAATTTTTGATCTACGTTTTCCATATAAGGATTATTGTAATAAACTATTATTAATAAATCAATCTTACAATTTATTTTTATGTATTATCTGTGTAATGACGTACTTTTATAGTGTAAGATAATATGTGCCTGTTTCGGATTAAGCGGCTTTAACCTCTTTGATTCCAGAAAAGGAAAAATGAGCACCATCAAAGTTAAAAATTAAGAGTTTCTAAGTCTGACACAGATAACTTATTTTATCTACCAAAATCTTGATTATCACCAATGAAACACAAAGAAAATTAGACACATAAAATCGATATGAATGACCTGGTTTTAGTATGTACCTGCTAGTATACTGTATCAAATGCACACTCACAATTATCACATCGGAGCATTATTTGAAAAGGAATGAAATCATTCATAGTGGAGTAGGAGATTTACTAAATAATTATAAATTTTTTTTTATACTTGCCCATGTTGTCGAAATTATTATTTTACAGAGTAAAGAAAAAATCAAAAGAATTAGATATTTTAGACCATTTTTAAAATGACGTTTGGTGGTCCTCCCAACTTAGGGAAAAATTATTGTGTCCGTATTTATAGGTGAGAACATTTTTCCCTTAAGATTTAAACATATTTGTTGACGGAATAAAAAGTAAAAATATCGTACATTAAGTGTAATGGGATGTAAAAAAAAAAATTGAGTCGGGCCATTTCTAGGCAGTAGGTCGGGAGGGAGGGCAACCAAATATTTTTTGTATAAAAGTGGTCTTAACAAAATAAGCTTAGGCGTCGGAACCGGGGGAGGCTAGGGGGAGTTTACCCCCCCCCCCACTTTTTTGCAAAAATAGATATAACATGGGCATTGAAAATTGGGATTTACCTTTTTTTGTTGGTTTAGCCCCCCCCCCCTTTTAAATGTGCTTCCAACGCCCATGATAAGGCTAGTATACTTAGTGATGGGGGGTAGCCTCCCACTTTTTGTTTTGCGAAGATAGATATAGCATAGGCAATGGACCTTTCTTCGCAAACATGGTGCTCTCTTCTAAATTTCAAAGAAACAACTCAATATATTTTATCAAACTTCGTATGTTGGTGGAAGCTTACATCTTTGTCAAAATAATGAGACATGATGTGTTTTTATGTCCAAACATTGCTCCATACAATGTATGGGCCATTGCAAACAATCTAGCTATTTATGTGAGGTGCCTGAAGGAAATCCTACAACTGACTATTTTTTTCTATTTAACTGCTGAACAAAATAGATATATGTTCCAACTTTTCGAATGTAATACATGTAATTACAATTTGTTTTTTATGTACCGCATATTGTTTAACATTTTCAAATTAAAAGCTAAGCATCCTCCTTGCAGAGCCCCCATTTGAAAATAACTTCTATCGCCACAGAAAAGAGACCCGCCGTAAACACATATGTTTAGGACAATTTTAATCTTTTTTCTTGAATTTTAAAGAAACCAACAAATTATCAGTAATTGTTCCATGAAAAATTAAATATAATCATAGTAATAAACACATCTATCCACAGCAGATACATGTATATGGCACATGTCAACCACGTGCGCAGTGGAATGAGATGATCGAGGAAACTCGAGCTATAAACAGAACAGTTTTTCCCGATTTGCTGGAGTGGGGTTAAAATTGCGTTTTTTTTCATTAATCAGACGGTGCAATGTTACAAACTAAAGTAGTAAGTTATATAACCTAGGGAATATTACTTCAGAATTTCTTGTCTTGATGTTGTTATGGTCGCATTTATTCTAAAAGCAATGTTATTTGAACTCTGTGTTACAGAGGAATGGCGGACGTAATGAACACCATGCCTCATGAAGACCCCCTAGCTGCAATAATGTAGCCCTCTCCGATTTTTTTTTTTTTTTTTTTTTTTTTTTTTTGGGAGAGGGCTACAACTCCTTAGGATCTTTCTAATGGCGCAGAGCGGGAGTGGATCGCTCCCGCACGGATTTCGTCTCAAATTGTCTGTAAACAGCTATTTTATTTATATGCCTTACCTGAACTTCCAAAATGTAGTTATCCCAGACATAAATCGAACATAAAATATACAGAACAATCAATATATCAGTATTTTTCGTGTATGTCAACATCACAACTTAAATTTATCCGCCATGTTTACTGACCTTGACAGATTTTATTTTGAGACAGCCAATGAGATTAAGGATCTACAGGGAGCGGATTTCTTTGGAATTACCTTATTTTAAGCCTAAATATCGTTGTTTACGAAAAAATGACACATGGAATGATTTTATTCATCGATGTTTAGTGTTACTATTCATCACAATTATTTATTTACCTCGACATTTGCTTTATTGAGTTGTTCAAAATTTCAAGCGCAAGTCTCACTACGTCACGCGTGAACTGTCATGGCTGCGAAATAAGCGAGAAGAAATCACACAGATTTATTTTACATGGTTTTCGCGTTTAACGAGCTATGATGTCGACAGTGAATAAAAATCTCGTCTTATTAGAAGTAAGTTGAATGTAAAAACAATTTATTCGGCCTGCAGTCGCTCGTATTTAAAAAATATTTTTGCACCATTATGGAGATGCTATGGAATTGTAGCCCTCTCCAGAAAATATCAGATAAAAAAAAATCGGAGAGGGCTACATTATTGCAGCTAGAAGACCCCCATATGAAAAATCAAATTTTCAAGAATTATGGATAATGACAAGAAAAAAGCGAAACAAATGGTTGTAGCCATATTATCAATGAACCGAACTGACATCATTTTCAATGCATTTTTCATTTCGTGAATGCTGTAGCTGCGCAGTTCTAACATGATTGATTTCCTCCTAATTAAAGCAAAATAAACTTAATTATTTACTAATTTTGGTCTCTAACAGTAGGTAATGAGTGCATTAGCACTTTGAGCAACTTTGGGCTAGTTTGGTAAAGCATTAAGCGCATTCTTGTTATTTCTTATTTTACACCAGACTAGATCTAATATGGCTTGTACATCCCCCTTAAAAAAAATGAAAATTCGTTCCTATGCTTTATTTGGACACTATTCGGCAATAACTGCGAACTTAAATTGAACTCAGAGCAAATTACAGTATTACGTTAAACGGAACGGACAAATACATATTAATTAAAGAGGTTGATGACAGTTTTCACTTTAGAAGCGTTCATTAACATTAATATTTGTAACTTTATTTCTACCACGTGATTCGTATCATATAATTTCAGATTATTTCCTTGGTTCTGAAGATGAAGAGCTTTCGTTTCAAAATGTTCATGACATGCATCTTCATAACCTTAACATTTGTCACAAATCTACTGAAAAGGCCTGGCAATGAACTGAAAGACCCTTCCTTATTCTACCGCATTACAAAAAGGGATCTGTCTCTTGGAAAAAATGACACCAGTTTAAACGTGCCCAAGGCAACACCAACGCCATTTTATGCACAAATTACCTATATAACTAACCCTTCTTCCATCTGCGATTCCTTTAAAACGTATAATGGAATCAAAATATTAATACTCGTGAAGTCTTCTCCAGAAAATTTTCATTTCCGAAAATGGGTACGTTTTAAAATTCAGAACTACAAAGACTTAAGAGATTCGGTAAAGACGGTGTTTCTGCTTGGTCAATCTGTTACCAGAGATAAGGACGTTCTTAAAGAGAGCAAAATATACGGAGACATCATCCAGGGAAGTTTTGTGGATGCCTACAGAAACCTGACTTATAAAACAATCATGGGGTACAGATGGATGAGCAAGTACTGTGAGGACTCGGAGTTTATTGTGTGCAAAGACGATGACTTCAAGATTAATATTGTTAACATTGTAAAGCAGATAAAAGCCCATAAAGAGCCAAAGACCATGTTCATTGGTCGCCTAGTCGAAAAAGGAAATACAATATATCGTGATCCGAATCATAAATGGTATCTCTCAAAGGAAGATTTCCCTGAAAATGTTCTTCCACCTTATTTTCCAGGAGGTGCTTATATAGTAAGCGCAACCATTGCCAAAAAATTGGTTTCAAATTTTCATTTAGTGAAATGGCTACCAATTGACGATGTTTACATAGGACTTGTTGCTCAAAAATCAAACATTACATTAACACATTCAAAGCTATTTGAGTTCAATAACTGTGACAGGTTCCATGAAAATTTAGCCTGCAGAGAGTTCACCAGACCCCAAGAGTTATTACAGGCATGGAAGTACGTGGTTCTTGATGACCTTGAAAAATCAAGAGCAAGTGGTTCAAACAGTATCTATTACATAACCTATAGCTTGTTCTTGAGCAATATTATTACGATTCTACGTGGTTGGTGATTTCGTGAGCAATAAAAGCAGAATCAAACGAAGTCTTTTTCTTCAGAATGCATAGTTATATTTTTAAACTCGCCTATGATAAAATTGTTAATTGTGTACTGCTGCAGCACTATAAGTCAGTATTTATTATCAACCAAATTTGTTTTCAATGTACTCAAAGTAAATGGGTGGTTCAAGTGACTAACACATCTATAGAAGTTAGGTGGTATTTTTGTTGACACTCCCAAGTTTCTCTTTGTTCTGCTTAACTGATATGAATTTGACAAACAACAGAACCAGCATACAACATGAAGTAAAAAAAAATATGTTTCACTAATTTTTTATTACAAATGAAGAAAACTGTTAATTTTAATATCACAACACATACCTAACAGGTATCAAAACATGGCATTAGCATCAACAAGTAGTAACAGTTTTAATTCCTTGATGATACGAAATATTCTGTTAACCTCTATCTTAAGAGACTCTTACATCATTGCTTAGAAGATGATAGAACTCTGAGCAACTATTTTAAATATTTACTGGGTGCCTAGCAGGCATGGTAAGTATGAGTGATTTACAATATTTTTTTTGTTTCATATTTGCCTCCTATTGAATTGAATAACTGCATGAAATTAACATTCGAACCTTATTTTTACTGCACACTAAAACATGCATGTTTACTTCAACTGTTCTTTCAAGGTTATTAATGTAATTTAGAAAGAAATCAGGACGGATAATACAGGTTTTAAATAATTCAGTTACATTTTTATTATATTCTTTGCATATTGCTTGATTGCGATTTTTGGCTCATCTGTGTTTTTCCCATCGTGCTCATCTGCTGATCTCAATATTGATATATAAAAGATCATTTCTGTACACGTAGAACTTTGAAATTTGAATTCCCTCGTTCAAATTTGTGGGGAAAAAGTTCTTAGTTAACGTTATAGCACCTAAACTGACTCGATCATTTTACATGTACACATAAATCAGAAATTGTAGGTCGATTCTATATAAATAGTATCACAATGCGATGACTAGAAAACAGCACATAAAAAATAAATAATACAATAAGCAGTATTTTTTTTCTGAAATTGTTCTACCCATTTTAATTACTGATGTGGTAAATCATGCCTTCCAGTAGTTTTTTACTTAGATTTTGCTCCAAGTGTTAAAATGATTTTGGCGAAACCAATTACAAGCCTATTTTTACTAGTTAAGTCTTCTTTAGTTAAGTTAAGTGATTTTGAAAGTAATTTTTGACGTGTATATTTTCCTATTTACATGGTATGACTATTTTTTTTATTGGCTCATGAATTTTTATAACTTATACATGTAATGAAGGTAAACTAAATGTATCATGAGATTCACATGTGGTTCAATATATATCAATGTGGAGTGAAAGTGTAAAAAAAAACGCAAAAAAATTTGACTGGGATCGAAACAATTGTTGATTCTGTAAAACTAGCATGCTGTATTAACAAATATGCAAATACTCATCTGTTGCAAAAATGATCATTAAAAAAATATCAACATTTCGAGTGGAATGACATCAGCAAGTTTACCACGACATGAATATACAAGTACCTGTTACTATCTACTATTTTACCACTAGAAACACGGTAACAAACGTCATATAAGTACTCTGACAAAAATAAATATATTAACTAACAACATAATTTCTACAAATTGATCTTCGAAGTCCGTAATTTAAGTCATTACCAGTTCATTTATCCATAAATTTACTTTGCTAAATGTAACTTGATTTAGCTGAACATATTTTTTTTTTACTGAAAACAAACTTTCGATTTATACCATGTTTTATGCATACATGTATTTTCTTGAAAGACGACAAGGGCGGTTTTATGAGGGTGTTCCCTTATTAATGACCAAGAGCGTCATATTTTTCTTGTGCTGCTTCTTTTCTGGGTTCGCTAATATTCTCCAAGTTCTCCATTTCTTCTTTATCTTTAGCCCACTCTTGAATTTCTCCATCGGAAAAAATCAGAAAGAAAATGGCTCCCAAACAGTAAATTACAGCAGCAATGTAAAACGCTATCAGCCATTCCTCTTGTGTTTTCTGAAACAAGATAAACTCTTTTACACTCTGTTAAAACAATATTTATGTGTTTGTGTGGTTGGTTAATAAATTCGTTGACTATTGTCCCTTTAGAGAACTGTTCAATCATCTTGATACGGCACCACTTGCCGGATGAGACCTTTACTCGCTACTTATGACCTTTGAGCACTGAGGGATCTTTTACATGCTCGGTTTATACGGTCTCACCCAAAGGACCGGTGTAACAGAATTTGATCCGGTTTTATGATCAAAATTCAATGATTCGGCTCAATTTTCATCACGCTGTGGTTTGAATTCAAAGCTTAATATTCAACGATGAAAAAAAAAACTGGATCAGTTTTCAATCTGGGTCAGAATCACACAATTGACCTGTCTCCATGTTGCACAGCGAAATCGAACTCGCAGCGTAAGGACCATCTCCTTACATCGCCACTATAGAGCAAGTGCTCTAACCACTGCGTCACGCTGAATAAACAATAAAAGGTCTATCTCAAAATTTTATCGATATATAGATACAAAGAAAAGTATATTTAATATAAATGTACCATTTTTCCTATCAAGACAAAGGAAGAGGGCGTATAAGGCGTGTACAATCCCCCGCTCTGAGACAAAATGTTTCTCAATTTTCAAAATTCACAAAAAAGTTATATTTTTCTAAAATCATGTTCTCAGTAATGTCATCTTCAAAATATTTTATTATTTTATTTTACTGAACGACTCATCATTTGATAATCTTTATTTTAAAGTATACTTAGTGCATACTTAAGTGTATACTTAAGCATACTTAGTGGAAAATGGGTTTAATAGAGCTATAAAAAAAGAATTTTGAACATGAATGGGTCAAGTCTCCATTCTTCGTGAACGCTTAAATGATGGAAATGTAAAAGTGAAATCCATTTCATTTGTCAAAAAAATGGAATCTGAACCCATTCTATATGAAAATCGAACTTTTCTGAAAAAATTTTCGCTTCAACGAACCCGTCCATTTAAATCACACTGAAAGACCTCAATAGTGCATATACTTCGTGGCGTAGTGGTTAAAGCGGTTGCTCTTGGACCAAACCTACGCTATGGAGAGAGTTCGAATCATACATGAAGCTTTTTCTCTCTTTTTTTTTCAAATGTCTTAAAACATGAGTAAAAATAAATTATTCATAAATTATTAAAACAATGAAATATAGAATTTGATATGTAAAAGATGATATAAACCATAAAATTTTGAAAAAATACTACTTTTTGAATTGAGAAATGTCTTTTTCAGAGCGGGGGATTCCCCTCGCTTTGTACGCCTCCATTCTTTTGTGATGTTTTGATACACAATTACAGGAAGCGGAATTTATTCAAAATCTTATACAGGGGAAGAAGAAAACACTTAATGTGGTCCTCAACTTGACATTAAGATATTTCAATGACGTATTATCAATAAACAATAGCTATGTCCATTCATATGTCGACACTATATCCCAGTTAGCTTTAAATAAATGATACGACAGAGTCTGACACATCTGTTTCATATTTGGTTATATTACTAAAAAAACGTTAATGATAGCCTAACAACAAAGCCTTATAATAAACGAACGTTTCAATAAACGACTTCCTTACTTATATAGCAATATACCCTGTAGGTGTTTATTACCGTATCTCTCTCAGTTGATTTTATACGCAGGAACATGCTCTGTGAACGAAATTATTGACGAAGAAGTTGATGAAACAATAATATCAACAGTCTCGTTTAAAGTCAGTACACGTATTTCGCAAGTTCTGTGGTCGCTACTGATCCCACCTCTGATATCTTAAATGTCCATGTTTGCTCTAATCCTGATTTTTATTGTTTGACTGGATTTGTGAGCTTGAATACGGTTTTCCATATTTCCATATTTCATGAAAAGACAGACAGTTTACTTGTGCAAAAATTCTTATGGCCCTCCACCAATTCTGCAGAGCAAATTGTATAAATTTCTACATTTATATAGACCTTAAAAATATCCAATTATTAGAGAAACAACTATTTGCGGAATTTCTGTTTTAATGAACCATCAAAATCTATCCGTACTTTATTAGACGATTCTTGATCAGGTATGATTCAAATTTTGCATATAACGACATTATTAATTACCATTCTTTTGCCATGCTCATGAAGCTAAATCGAAAGGAAAGAAAACGTTCAAAATAAATGACAACAGGCCAATAAAAAACTTACGTTAACAGTTACGGAGGCGACCACATAGGGCGCAATTATCCCTGGAATACTCGCTCCAGTATTGGTAAAACCAAATATAGTCCCAGCATAGTTGGGAGCAATATCACCATGGTTCACAAAAACAGACGGAAACTGGAAGCCACAGAAGGCAAGAGACAGGGTAAGAAGGAAAACAGCCGCTTCCTGTTGGAAACATTTCATATATCCAAGGGCAATCAAAAAAGCCGCGGGTACAAAATGACCTACAAAATACATGTAGAGCTATCTCAGTGGAGAACTATTACATTGTAATTGAGTCAATTAATACGTACGTCATATTTATGTATAATTTACATCTTCTTTATACATTTTATTCAAATACAAATTCCTGACTGAAAGTAGTGCACTCTAAAAATATCTTGATGAGACAATAAAGGTTTAATACCTATTGCACAACACAACTTTCTAGTCCATTTGATACTTAAAATTTGCCTTGAAATAAGTGTGTCTGCAAATATTCCGGCCACAATGATCGTCATCCAGAATGCTAGATACGGTATCATAGAATAAATCCCATTCTGCAAAAGAGGAAAGATAATGTCATATTAAAAAAAATTACAACTAAAATATTCCATTAAAACAATGCACTATTGCTACCAAAGTATATTCTTTAAAATTTAAACCATGATGTTAGATTCTTACAGACTTGATGTTAAACTTGAGAACTTCCTTCAGATACGTGGGAATCTGAGTCAACAGCATGTAAGCACCATAGTTTCCAGCTGCATTTGTCACAAGAATAGCCCAAACAGGAAG